TCTACTATGCAGGATGCAATGGCCAGTGCTCTTGAATTTGAATCTTATGTTAAGTCTAGCACAGAAGTACCAAGGTGGGTACAGTCATCAGTATTCAAAGTCAACTTTCAGAGAAGTTTGAGGGACTTTGCTGGCACTGTAACAAACCTGGGCACAAGAGAGCTCAATGCTGGCAACATCAACACAGGGGAGATGTTTGAGCAGGAAAGGCTGCTACCCAGAAAGGTTGTTGGAACTGTGGAAAGCAAGGACATTTGAGGAGCCAGTGTAAGAAGAATATTATCAACAAGTCAGCCTCAAGGAGACCAGTAGTGGTTGGTGTTGAGGGACACTCACCAACCCCATCATGAAAGTCCCAACAGCTAGGTGTAAAATGCCAGGCACACACAATGTCTATGTGACAGGAAAGCTGGATGGCCAAAGGTGCAACTTTGTCATAGATTCTGCGTCTCAGCAAACCCTTGTGAGCATCAAGGTGTTAGATCACGAAGGAGTACCAGAAGCCATACAGAAGCTTTGTGGTATGACAGGACATCCTGCAAGGTTGTGGGGACCAGTGTAGATAACTATTGAGCTCATGGGCATAAAGGACAGACAGAAAGTATACTTGGCTGACATTGAAGACGACTGCATATTAGAATTGGACTACTTACTACCGAGGAAGTTGGTAATTAATTTTGACAAAATGACGTTTGGGCACAACAAAGGCCAAGTTCCGGTAACTGTTAAAAAAGAGGTTGAACTAACCAGGTGCCATCAAGCTGAAGTCAAGCCGACTGAAAGAGCTGATGATGGGGAAGTGGAACCAAATATAGATATCAAAGCAGAACAGGAGAAATACCAAAATTTGAAGCCAATAATTGATTTTCTAAAAGCAAGCGCTTTTCGCCCTGCTTGGGAGAAGGTGTCTAGTCTAAGCTCTGTGACAAAGAACTATTGGGCACAATGGGACCAGTTTAAGCTTGAAGATGGTATTCTTCTCCAGAGATGGAAAACTGTACATGGGAAAGTGACGACCTGGCAAAAGGTTATACCGAGAAAGTTATGGGAATTGTGCTGCGTCAATCCCATGATACTTTAACAGGAGGACATCTCGGAGTTAAGAAGACGTGAGTCACCTACGACAGAGATTTTACTGGATTGGTATGAGGCAAGATGTGGAAGAATGGTGCAGAACATGCAGTACATGTTGTGCTAAAAGAGGACCCAAGCATAAGGGACGTGCTCCAATGAAGTTATATCAAGTTGGCGCACCAATGGAAAGAGTAGCCGTTGACATTGCTGGTTCTCTGCCTCAAACTCGTGCTGGAAACAAGTACATTTGTGTGGTGATGGAATATTTCATTAAGTTGCCTGAGGCATATGCAATACCAAATCAGGAAGCTACAACTGTAGCTACGGCTATTAGTGATTTCTTCTTCAGATTTGGTATGACATATGAACTGCATTCAAATCAAGGATGTAACTTCGAATCAGCTTTGTTCCAAGAATGCTGCAAGTTGTTTGGCATCCGAAAGACCAGAACAATGCCACTTCATCCACAGTCTGATGGAATGGTAAAAAAGTACAAATGGACACTGGGCTAGTAATTGGTAAAGTTTTGTTATAGCCGCCAAGATGACTGGGTTGTCTTACTCCCTCCACTGTTGATGGCCTATTTGACAGCAGAGCATGAAGCCACTGGATACACTCCAGCAAAGTTGATGTTTGGTCGAGAACTTCGGTTGCCAGTGGATCTGTTAACAGGATGCCCACCTTATGAAGAGTTGCCTGAAAATGTGTCAGAATTCGTGAAAGTGTTATCTGAAAGGATGGATAATATTCACCATCAAGTGTGTTCAAACTTGAAAACGTCTGCTGATTCGATGAAGTTATCTTATGATAAGAGATCTACTGAAGTCAGCTTTGTACCAGGAGACAAGGTGTGGATGTATAATCCCAGGAAGACCAAAGGGAAGTCTCCTAAGTTGTCTTCTCCATGGGAAGGCCCATATGACATAGTGGATCGTCTCTCAGACGTGACTTTCGCAATAAAATGTGGTCGGTGAGGTAAGCTAAAGGTGGTGCATGCCAACAGGCTTTGGCATTATCATGGTCCAGGACATTTCAGTTGAGATAAAGTGAACAACGGAAGAAATGATGCTGCTGAAGATGTGTCACCTGAAAAAGCCACTGTCGAAGAAGAAACTTGAATCGGTTTTGAGAAGAGAAACAGCGAAGCCCTTGATGAAGTTACTACCACTGATGTGACTGTTACCGATGATAGGACATTTCCTGAAGGAGCAGCTGAACTCCACATGAAGCAGAAGCCAACGAGATGGAGACCAGTACGGAAGAAGATACGTCCCGTAAAATTAAGAGACTTTGTTGAATTTTGATTTTGTGTCTGTAAATTCTGTACATTTAATTAAGTTATTGTTAATTATTTATTGGTTTAGTGTAAGTGGCTATTGTTCAGGACGAACAATACTAAGGAAGGGGCAGTGTTACGACAGCGGAGGTCACGTGACGCTAGTAACACGTCATGCGCTTCTAGAACGTTCATGAAACCTCGAGAGGCTACTAGATATGCGGTAGTCTTGTATATAAGCCGCCAAGAACTGACGGCAAGAAAGGGTAATTGAACTACGGATTGTTGAGTCGAGCACTTGAGACGTTCGTTGTGAATTATGGCGTTTGTTATAGCGCACTGTGGAAATTAAGTGTATTGCAAAGTTGTATTCAGAGAGAATAAACCCGTTTTATTTAAGAAAGGACTTGTATCGCTAAAGTTTCTTCGGAAATGATTTTTACGGAAAACTAACTAACAACGGAGGCGTAACAGTACGATACAGCTTCTTTTAACTACAGATCTGGTTTAATCTGTTTTTGAAGAGCATGCTAAATGAAAATCGTACTGGTATTTTTGAAAAGTGAATTTTGTACACCTTTCTAATAGTCTTTAAGACTGTCACATAGGTTACTGTAATTTGCAGTTTTATTATAACTTTTTAGACTACTGACTAATCGTCGTTTTTAAAACTGTCCGTCAATATCTTTTAACTTGGTGATTATTAACTGAATATATTCAAGACTATCATAAATGTTCTATTTTGTCTACATCTACTTAATTTGGTGCGACCTCTCTGTTTACCTAGAAGGCTGTCATGTTCTTCACTGAATGTACTAATTTAATATCGTTAAAATTATTGCACATTGATTATTTTCGAGAAGAATGTTGAAAATATATGGTGTATTTTTTAACAGTATTCGTCAATTAATTCAATACCGAAATACTTAAAGCTTGTTTCCCTTTTTTTAATCTAATTAATGGCGTGATTGAAAATACCATTTTTATTTTCTTTGTAAAGGTACTCGTTTGATGTCATTTCTGATACTATGGCTTACATTGCGGTATTGGTCGTGTTTGAAACGATGAGTAATGGGAATATAGACGACTTGAGTATTACGAGGGATGATTCACTCAAGTTTACGGTAAATATTATGAAATTCACAGTAAGGTAGGTTTAGGTATTACGATAGCTGAAAATGAACTCGGGAGTTTAGAAGAAGATAATGTATTTAGCTTAAGTTGCTGTGCTAACTGAAAATGATGTTGCTAGTGTAGTGAAGATAACTCAAGCTTTACAAATGGATAACTTAGCTAGTATAAGGTGCTGTTACGTCTCTGTATGTTTGTTTGTTAATTCTTCTAAGATACAAGTCCTTTCTTTATAAAATTTGTTTATTCTTCCTCAATACAACTTTGTAATGTACTTAATTTTCACAGTTACACACACTATAGTTCACAACAATTCACTCACTTTCTATCGCGCTTAGACTTAACTATTCGTCCCCGCAAACTATAGTTCCGATCTCTGTGTCTGCTATCCTCAGTTCCCGCCGACCTTAATCGCTGTCTTTCTTGCTCTCTGCCTGCTTCGTCTCTGTCTCCACTACTGCTTCGACTCCGTCTCTCTCTCTCTCACTGTCTAGCGCACTTATATACGATAATACTGCCTGTTCTAGAAACTTCTAAGACTCTCAACACGTGCTACCAGCGTCACTTGACTTCCGCTGTCGTCACGTGACCCCCGCTGTCGTAACACACTAGCGAATCTTCTAGAATACTCGTCACGTGACCCCACTGTCGTAACACTGCCCCTCCCTTAGCATTGTTCGTCCCGAACAATAGCCACTTACATTAAACTAATAAACAATTAACAATAACTTAATTAAATGTACAGAATTTACAGACACAAAATCAAAATTCAACAATATCTTTTAATTTTTCGGGACGTATCTTCTGTCGTAACAGTGCTGTGTTTAAACACAAGGGAATTCAAGCTTTAAAAATTAACAATGTTGTTAGTGTGGCGATCGTGCTAACTTATGATAAACTCAAACTTTAAAAATAGGTTGTGTAGTTAATGTGGGGTCCTGTGCTAACTGAAAATTTAATCTGTAGTGAATGTAAATTAATGTAGTTAATGTGAAGATCAGGAAAAATGCTTTCAGACAGAAAATTATCCAGCATTCACAATACAGTACGAAATGTTATGCAGAGAATAAAATAAAATGTACTAGCAAAAGAGAAAAAATAATAATTGCTGGTATATTTACCAATGCTACCTAACGTCACTATTCACTATATAAACTTCTCTGGCTGCTAGAGTAGGAGAAGAAATTGCACGAGACAAAAACAGGAGCAAGAATCTGCACTGCTATATTATACCTCACATTCAAATAAGACAAAATTTGGTGCAGTACTGTATCCCACAATCACAGATTCTTTACTTTAATGATAATTTTTCTTTATGCATATTCAAAGGAGAAACTATACTGTACCACCCCTTGAAATTAGAGTTACCTGCGTCCAAAAGGGTATGACACAGAAAGAGTGTCAAAAAAGTAGAAGTCGTATTGATCAATCATTTTGGTATTTAACCTCAATTTAGGCTGGAAGTCTGCAGGTTTGCGGCTTTTATACACCTGGTTTACAACTTGAGTTGCGAAGTAAAACTATGTATAAAATTAAGCTTAACATAGAATTAAAGTAAAACACCTTAAGCAGAAATTAAGACAGAATTGGGCAAAATAATAAAATAAAAGTAGATAAGCAATTTGGATATTACATACAAAATATATTGTTACGTCTCCGTTTGTTAATTAACCTTCCGTAACTTCGTTCCGACGAAACTTTAGCGGCACAAGTCCTTACTTAATAAAACTGGTTTATTCTTTCCGAATACAACTTTACGATACACTTATTTTCAACAGTCGCGCTATGACAAACACTATAACGAACGAACGTTAACTTCAACGTCTCTCTCTGACCGCAGTTCAATTACTCATTACCTACACACACATTATTGTTCCGTCACGTTGTCCCCCTCTTATATATACCAGACTACCCTATATCTAGTAAATACCAGAGCATTCGCCAAGGTACAGGATAGTTCTAGAAAATAGGTGACGCCACACCAGTCACGTGACCACAATGACGCAACA